TCATGAGTAGGACTGCACTATTCGATCTTCATGGAAACGATAAAGCTGGATGCTGGGGCGGAACTTAACTGAAAGTAGTTCGCTGGCCCAAAAAAATCCTGTCGAGGACTGGGAACAAGCTTTTTCGAACGTACTCTACCCCATCTGTTCGTTGTTGTGCACAGAGAAAAAGTAAACATCTTGTCATAAAATTATGTTACTGCATTTCACATTGAACTACATCAACTCTTCCGTTTTTTACATTTTTGCTACTGTACTACAATTGTTAGAAGATTAAAGCCTAGATTTGGTCCCCCCCCCCCTCCTCGGGTCAGCGACGGACCCAGATCGACCACACCGCGGTAAGCCACAAATGGTGGGGCTGCATTCAAGACTGCCGATCGTGCTGGAGAACTCCTCTCAAATCCGACCATGCATTAGTATGCGGCAAGCAGTCCATGTGCTTCAGTTCCCAACGCACGACACGACGGTTAGACTGTGATAAGTTGTCTAAACCAGCTTGTCTAACTGTCTTCCAAAACGCGCTAGCTAAAAAGCTAGAAACAACCCCAGCCAATGACATTAACCAGCACCGGTCGCTTATCAAGAATGCTCTGCATTCTGCTGGCTCAGTTGTGGTCTGACACGTAGTCCTGCGACACCCTGGGTTTCAGCGGAGTCCCTACACCTTCTCGATGCACGCCAATCAATCCCGATTGGCAGCGAGCATAATGAAATAAGACGAGCAATGAATCGTAACCTCAACGCAAGCCTACGCAGAGACCGCGAGATCTGGTGAACCCAACGCGCGTCAGAGATGGAACGTGCTGCCGCCATGGGAAGTTCCTGTAAGCTATTCGTTGACATCCGGGTCATCGGTAGGAAATCCTTGGGTATGAGCGAAACGATCTGCGACGCTGACTGTTCACTCATTCATAATCAACGGTGACACCTTACACGCTGGTCGGAGGTCTTCAAAGCACAATTTAGCCGGCACCACCATCGTCAGTTTTTCATAGAGCTATTTCGGCACACGTCCCATAGTCTGTCTCAACAGACCCGCCTCAGAAAGTATGGTAGGTGGGTGTCTAGAGTTGCGGCTGATCACTCTCCCCACCCCGCTTCCTTACGGGTTAGGCTTTGGCTAGTCAAAGACTCCAGTCATGGATTCCCCCAGAAAATTCACCTGCCTTGTCCTGGATAACCTGGCGGTATTCAGCCCACAAGCCACTCATGGAAGTTTTTTCTTTTTTATAAAGATTATTGTAGCGTGATTTGGTTGGCACAGTCTGCCTTCAGACAAGTGTAAAATATAATGTAAATATATTAAACAGACCCATCTTCTGAGGTGGAAACCCGTAAGGAAATCCAAGCCTTGGGTCGTCGCAAATCGCCGGGCTCAGATGGACTTCCCCCCGCTCTATTTAAAGATGGTGGAATAACGCATGTTAGAGAACCATAAGTTCTGTTCTTTAAAGTTTGGAACACCGAGCAGGTCCCCTTCTTGTGAGGGGAATCGATTGTTGTCCCCATCCTCAATAAAGGAGCCCGTGCAGTGACTGCGCCAATCATAGGGGTATAAGCCTTATCCTGATGGCGTCAAAGCTGTTGGCGTCCGCTATTCTCCGCTGATTGTACACTTTGCGTGAGGAGCAGGCTGGGTTTTGTGCCGGTCGTGGATGCATCGATCAAATCTTCACCCTCCGATGGTTGCTGGGGCAACGGCATGCCTACCAAAGACCAGCGACCATTGTATTCTTAGACATCTGCGTGAAACTCGACTCTGTCGATAGGGCCGCAGTATGGAACTGTTTGTCGAGGAACGGAGTACCTGGGAAGCATGTTGATCCTCAAAGAGTTGTATCGTCATACCTCAGATCGGTTTAGGGCCTATGGCCAACTTTCACTACCCTTCGACGTCTCCAGTGGAGTTCGGCAAGGCTGCCCCATAACCCCATTCCTTTTCAACTTTGTCATTGAGGATGTTCTATAAAATGCGTTGTTCGGTCTGGCAAACGTTGGAGTCGAACTCCTCCAAGAGAACAGAGTCCTTGACTTAGAATATGCCTTGCCAGGTGACAATACACAAGCAGTCCAAAACGCTTTGAACAGCTTGGCGATCGAGGTATCTAGGTTGTGCTTTGCACCGTCCAAATACAAAGTACTTGTACAAGACTGACAGGAGCGTGTCTGCACACGGTAGACAGCTCTGCTTTCGTCCAGTTCAATACCACGCCTAACCTATCGAGGCCTCATGTGGTTCGCCACTCCAAGTACTGGGAGTTATATTGCCGGTTTCCACCACTGAACAGGTCCTCGTGACTATGGGGTTCGCCCCGTCTGCTGCTCATCATACGTGGGTGTAATAAAAAAAGAAGTAATCGCCCTACATCGCCTCTAATGACTTGGTCACGTATTCCGTATGCCTGCCCATCGACTACCTTTCCGTGCTCTTTGCACNAGATGTCAGTGGTGCAAATGCTGTACGGTTTGCTTGCGGAAATCCCGTGGCCCGTAAAAAAATAGACACGAAAAAATATCAAAAAGTATATGGTGAAACGCAATTTTTTTGTTATCCACTTTTTCGTGTTTAGTCGGTTCCGCTTCTTTCCACTTTGTTCTGCATTCTCTATTATTTTTATTGTTATCATTGTTGTGGCGTCGGCACCATACTTGTCTACAAGCATATATATACTTGGATTATGGCTTCAGGCAGTCTTCTTGAAAGGAATGTACGGGTTTCCGAATACGATATTCCCATAGCAGTTGAACTTCTGCCGTGCAATTCAACTCAGTCAATCATTTTATTTCTGAATGGTAGAAATGATTCTGTCCATCAGATAGTCATCATCCAGGATCATAGTTATTGCATGTTTTCTGCAAATCGCGAGTGTCAAGTGCTTGTTCAAGACTGACAGGAATCTACGCGTGCGCCCATTTGTGGTGAGCAACTGGAACTTGTTGAGAGCTGTATATACTTTGGGAGCCTCATCGCAGTTGGTGGTGCTGGCGCGAAAGGTAGAAGAGAATGGCCAACGGGCGACACCTGTGGTGCCGCCATGAAATCTAAATCTCTCTTAGGGGAAAGATTCACACAGCGTAGATTCGTAGTGTTCTGTGAAAACTGAGCCCTCCGCGTTGAGGATGCTAATCGTCTCTCTGTATTCTACTATCGATGTCTCCGAAGCATCGCTCGTGTCCGATGGAAACCGGGTGAACGTTGAAGAGGTTCGTCGTAGCGTTGACGACCGCTTGCACACCCTCCGATGGTTTAATCACATTTTGAGTCGTTTTATTTGTCGTCTGTCTCATTGCACATGCTGGGCAAGGCCGAAAGAAGCGCCGCGGATGTCACACAATAACATAGCGTACAAGTATTGGGTAGTTAGCTTTTTCCTCCGTTGGTGCAGTCCGCCTTCCAGGTTTGGGTCCAAGGGATGTCACTGGTTTATGAATAGTGGCACGAATGCCGTGTGAACTGCCTGTTGAAATCCCGTACCCCACAAAAAATTGTAAACCAACAAGCAGAAAAAACATCAAAGTATACGATGAAACAAACAAAAAATGTTACTCCTGTTATTTTCATCCGCCGTAATTGTTTGATTTCCGTTTCGCTTTGTACCCCGATTCCCATTATTATTTATGTTGCGTGGGCACCATGCCTGTTGGTTTATTCGCTGTAGCCGCTCCGGGCTGGAGGAAACCACATGGAGGTCAACAGATAACGTGGAGACGAGACACGAAGAGCACAGAGCCATTAGGTAGAGTTTGTCACGCGCCCTCCAATTTGGGGTCCGAAAGTCTCCGCAACTGGTCGGTTGGGGATAATGAAGGATATGGTAGAGAACAGACCGCAGTGGCGTTCTTGTTGTCATTTATTATCACGCCGGAACGCCGAGCTTGATTGTGTACTTTATTAACCGTAGAGGTTCACCTTCTTCCTTTCTCTCAAAATAAGTCTAATCCCTGTCCACTTTATATACTACCATCAACCTTGTATGCATTGCGGTTGGTAAAGTTGCTATACTGTATTTCGCTGTACGATTAAGTCGGTGTTTTCTAAACGCTACTTACGAATCAAGGAAGACAACAGCCGTTGGCTGACGTATCCCAAGCAGCTGAAAACGGTATACGAAACTATCGGTTGATATAATTGGGTTAAAACAACAGAATATAAATCTA